GGAAATAGCTATGTAATTTGTGACTCTTTCCATTTGGATGTTTTTTCTGGATGTTTTCCACGCAAATTTATATGTTTTTAGATATATTTTTTGGGGACTCCGTTTTGGATGTGTGTTTTTTTTTTGGTCAAAGAAAAGTGGCAACACTGGAGATGACAACAACGTCCCTGAACTCCTGTCTGCTGGCTTCTTCAAACTGTTCCCTCGTCTCACTTTAGAACCTTCTTCATTCACCCGACTCTCTCCCTCACGGAGATGAGATAATTATCGAGACAGTAATATATGCTGAGGTAAATAAATACTTTGCAACTCGTTTTGTTCTTTTAAATTGTTTTACAGAAAAGCTGTAAGTTCGAAGTAAAAGTGGACTAAGACTAAAGTGGAAGAATGAGGACCATCATGTTCATCTTTTAAACTTAATGTTGTAATTAAATAACTAAAGTTATAAAGCCCTCTGGCTTAGAGGTTTATAAGAACGTTCAAGAGTTTTATGGTCTTCGGGTGTTAGTAAGGCTGTCGACGTCGTTTTCTGACAGTGGGTACGAGAATCGCACCGGGGAGAATTTGGATGAGGTCTCTCAGTCTCAGCACGTAATTTTACGGTATTTAGCAAAGACGGGGGGGGGGGGGGAGGAAAGGGGGGGGGGGTACATTATAGCTTATCTTCACTTTATAGATAATACATAATTAAATATTACATTTTTGAATACTTTATTTGTAAAAGTAAAACTTAGCTAAAGAATCTTCTGTTTGTATCGCTCATCACTGAACTGTTTGTGTTGATCATAATCCTGAGATTATAACAGTGTTAGTTGTTATTTGATTTAAATGTTGTAATAAAAAAATATATATAAATAAACCATACAAATAAAAATATTGATTCTTCTTCTTCTACAGTCATCCACACCTTTCGGCCAACACATTCGTTTTCAGCAAATCCTTAATTAGTCATTTTGTACATCAGGCTGGTTGGGGGAAGGGGGGGGGGGGAGAGGGGGGGGGGTGTCTGTCTCTTCCCTCCTTCAAGTGCCCCCCCCCTCCCCCAGGGAGAAGAGATCAGAGCCACTGCCACCCAACAAGCATGTTATAAAGGGCAACTAATTAAGACAGCTGAAATCAGATGTGTTTGCCCAAAAAGTGCAGATATTACAGCCTAGTTGTAACCATAACACAGTGTGTTAAACACCCTTTTTAAGTTGAACTCAGATGAAAAACAAACAAATCAATAAACCTTATCCACAAAGGCTCACAAACTGGGCATGCAGGCCTGTCCTATATTTGGACCTTTAAAACACCCATCTTTTACATGGCAGTATTCTTTTCTATATCAAGCATATTATTTTCATGTATCAAAATTCACAGTATGAATGTTAAGTCAAAAATACAGAAGCATGGATAGCAAATGCATACCTTAAAATATACATGCAGAAAATAAAAAATGGCTCTCCTTTAAATAACGGTCGCTAGCTGGAAGGCGACGGCCGCTTAGTCGGAGTTCACTCCCTTGGCTGCAGTGCAAATACAGAGCGGACAAGTCACGAATCAAAAAACAAAGTGAGGTCGACATGCCTGCTAGAGCTAGACAACGCACTGCGACTGACAGTAGCGACCGCGATCTTGCGACACAAGACTCTCATAGACCACGCGCTGCGACTCACATTAGCGACCGCGTTCTTCCGACCATGACTTAGTGACCATCGATGTGAGACCTGCGGATCTGTATGTCGTAATGAGCGATAAACTTCCGTCGTGTCCGTGATGTGTCACCCTAACCCTACCCATAACCCTAACCCTACCCCAAACCCTAACCCTACCCCAAACCCTAACCCTACCCCTAATCCTAACCCTAACCCTACCCCAAACCCTAACCCTACCCCTAACCCTAACCCTACCCCAAATCCTAACCCAACCCCTAAGCCTAACCCTAGGATGACAGGTAACTATATCATTTGTTTTGTTCCCTCTTTACCACTCCGTATTTGCACTGCAGCCAAGGGAGTGAACTCCGACTAAGCGACCGTCGCCTTCCAGCTAGCGACCGTTATTTAAAGGAGAGCCTAAAAAATAAACCACACACAAGAAGAGGAAGAAGAAGAAGAAAAAACCTTCATTCATACCCTGTACCAAAGTTCCATCTTGATGAGGACTGAGTCGGTGTTCCTGTTTTCCTCTTCAAGCCCAGTAACTTGTGGGAGTGTAAGAATGGTACTGGAATCAGGTTAAAGAGAGCCATGCTAGTATTTGACCATCTCATATTAACTAGCAGCAGTTATTGAATTTCTGGGATTAGGCTAATCATGTTTCTTCAATGTGTTTTAAGTATTTATAACACCCGTAAGAGTTGGAATCTCGAAGAAATGATGTTCATGTTTTGTCGTTACTGGTACTTTTCCCCTCTTTCCAGATGATAATGTTCCATTGTGCCATAGGGAGGCATGAGTATCACAGCCCATAGAGATGGCAAGTGTGACTAGCGATATCTGTTTCTTTCATGTCCCTCATGCACACATCTTTAAACCATAATATAGGCTGACCATACATCTTTTACTCATCTTTAATTCACTATAGAGTATGTCCTTCGAAACTCTGCAACCCTCCATTCTCTGAATGTGTTCTAGACATCTGAGCCTTCAGAGACTGAGCATTAAACAATCATCAGGATTTGTAATGACATCTTTATAAAGCAGACACTGCAGGGGCTATGGTTGGAGTCTGTTTTGCTGCTTATGAAGTGATATGAGTTGTGATCAAAGTCTGAAACAAAAGTTTCTTGTCCTTTCTAATGACATTGTGTATGTTATTGTTTTGTTGGGGGAAGAATTGGGTTTGTATTTGTAAATTATTCCTCCTCCTGTTCAACCATTTCTTTATTCACAGTTGCTGTTAGCTGCTTGGAGGCATGTTATTATACAGTTGTTTTTCTCTCGGTACTTTTGTTTTGTAAAGTTTTTCCTCTTCTACCCTCTTCAGAATGCAACTGGCACCATTAGTATCGGAACTCTTCCCTGGCTGCTGAAAATGGGGACGGAGCGCTTATGGGGATGCCCCGAGTGCTGTGATGTCGGTTCTTGAATCTAATCAAATCAAATCTTCAACCCTGTGATACAGATGTACTTTCCTGTCTTAATGTAACATTTTATCATCCACACTTGGGCAAGGAGGTACCTTACAGTCTTATCTGGTATAATTACACATGATTTGGTTTTAAAGAGCCCAACTAACATTCTTTTTCTTCAGCATTCTGAGCCCTTGAGGTGTAATGCTGTAGATATCACCTGCCTCCATTGGCGGTGTTGCTAGATTTGTCTGTATCTGGACTATATCTCTCTACTGTCTTCTTGGTATGCTTTATGATCTGCTCCCATTCAAGTCTTTTGTCTCTACAGTTTTTGTTTCTCTGTTATCTGCCATTCTCTGTATATGCCCCAGTTGTTAGAACCTATAAGCCCTTATGATCCAGTAGTTGTATAATTTTGGGTGATTTAAACACATTATAAATTTTTTTGTTTTTCACTCTCCATTCTCCGCTTTTGCAATGGGTCCAAAGATTTATCATAAAACTCTGTTCTCAAAAGTTTGTCATAAGACTTCTCTGCTAATTATACCCGAGGTTTCAGAGTCATGGAAGACTATTGGTCTTATCAGTCAGTCAGACACATAGACCACAATAGCTGATACAATCTTAAACATCAGGTATACTTCTTCTTCTTCCCTGTTCACCAGCTGTGAGCACAGGCGGAAAGTCTTGGCTTGTTTTGTCCATTTGGACTTTGGCTGGGCCAGGGTCTGCATTTTGCATGTAGATCCATTTTACTTGTTTATTGTGTGCCGTTGGTTGTTCCTTGCCGCTCGGGCAGATGCACTCTGACTTTGAAGGAAGTTGCCAATTAGTCAACTCCTACGACATGTTGTTTGGAGAGGCAGTGGGTCAGTTTTTCTTTTCCCACCATGGGACCCCTGAAACCACATGGGAAATCTAGTTACTAAATGGATGTGTTGATTCTCTACTGCAGTGTTTCCCATTTGGTGATGGATCCATTGAAAAAATTTAATTGTCTATGATATCATTTACAACATAAAACAACAACACCAGATCTCAACTTTTGAAATCAATTTTCTGGCAATTCTGATATTTACAAATGATCATAATTTCTTCAGTATGACTGTTAAAAACCTAGAGACAAACTCAGGAGAAGATCAGAGCACTTATTGAAATGTGCGGTGAAGATGACCTCTAACACGAACTGTGACTATTAAAAAGTCTGGGTCATGGCCGGCCTTCAGAATAAGAGAGGTCAAGAGGTATTCCTAATTTTGAACCACTGCTTGACTACAGATTGACATCCGAACATCTGCATTCTTGGTGAACAGATTGACATCCGAACATCTGCATTCTTGTTGAACAGATTGACATCGGAACATCTGCATTCTTGTTGAACAGATTGACATCAGAACATCTGCATTCTTGTTGAACAGATTGACATCAGAACATCTGCATTCTTGTTGAACAGATTGACATCAGAACATCTGCATTCTTGTTGAACAGATTGACATCAGAACATCTGCATTCTTGTTGAACATATTGACATCAGAACATCTGCATTCTTGTTGAACAGATTGACATCAGAACATCTGCATTCTTGGTGAACAGATTGACATCGGAACATCTACATTCTTGGTGAACAGATTGACATCAGAACATCTGCATTCTTGTTGAACATATTGACATCAGAACATCTACATTCTTGTTGAACATATTGACATCAGAACATCTGCATTCTTGTTGAACAGATTGACATCAGAACATCTACATTCTTGTTGAACATATTGACATCGGAACATCTGCATTCTTGTTGAACAGATTGACATCGGAACATCTGCATTCTTGGTGAACAGATTGACATCCGAACATCTACATTCTTGGTGAACAGATTGACATCCGAACATCTGCATTCTTGTTGAAAAGATTGCCTGGATAGCTGAGTCCCTTGTAGCAGATCATGTCGGAAAACGGTTTCAGAACGCTGGAGACGGCGCACCCCATCCTGCAGACGATGGCGGGGACACTGTTCACATGGGGCATGACAGCGGCAGGGGCTGCCTTGGTCTTTGTCTTCAATAGCACACAGGTCGGTTGCATGCTTTTTTTAATCATCATCATCATGTGCTCTGCCAGTTGGCATAGGTGTTCATGCGTCTCCACGGATCATGATCCCTGGTTGCCTGAAACAACTCTCTTGAGGATATCTCTTCATGCCATCATTTCAGCCCATCCAGCATCATCTTTCTTGGTCTGCCTCTACACCTCTTTCCACTGATCATTCCAGTCGTCACAATGTTTTCCAACGTCTCTCTTCTCATTACGTAGCCAAAGAACAGTGTTTGTCTCCTTCTTCTTTTTCTTTGATATAACCATTACTTCCGTTTTCTTAATATTCAAGGAAACTTCATTCTTGGCACTCTCCATCCCCACAATATCCAGCAGTTGTAAATCAGTTGCATTTTCAGTTATCAAAACTATCCTCTCCATAATGCAGATTGTTTATATTGTATCCTCCAACTCTTATTCCTGCTTTCTTTTTAATTTCCCTTAAAATTACTTCACTATATAGAGAGAAAAGGTCTGGGGATAAGACACATCCTTGTCTTACTCCTTGCTTTATCTGTTCAAAAGTACCCAATCTGTTTCCCACTTTAATTGCTGTTACTTGGTTCCGGTAAATGTGTTTAATTATTCCGAGATCTTTTCCATCTACATTGGTGTCTTCCAACATTTTTATCATCTCCTCATGTTTAATTTTGTCAGTTTGTCAAATGCTTTATTATAATCTGTAAAACACAAAAATAAGTCCTTTTGTGTGTCCATTGATCATTCTATCATTATTCTTAATATGTATATTGCATTACATGTCCCGTTACCTTCCATAAATTCATACAGCTCTTCACTCATTTCCATTCTGATTTTTGTTCTTGTTCTTCTTAAAATTAGTACTTCTTTCCTTCCTTTTTTTTCTGTCTTCCTGTCTTCCTTCTGTCCTTCTCCCTTTTCTTATTTTGGATGTCTTTCATTTTGTACTTCCTCTCTCCTTCCCTTGCTTACTTGTCTCATTGCACCATCCTTCCCATCTTTTGTCCGTCTTCTATTCTTCATTACATCCCCTTCTTTCATCTTACTCTTTGCCTTTCTTTCTCTCCCCTGCCTCCCTTCCCTAATCATTCATTCCTGCTATATACCTTCCTTCCTTCCTCCTTTTCTCATTTCTTCATTGCTCCCATGCTTTTTTCCATTCTCTGTGTATTCTTCCTAATCATTTACCCATCCTTTATCCCCCCCCCCTCCACCCTCAATCCTTTCTTCCATGTATATGTGTTTGTATGTGTATGCATACGTGTATGTGTGAATTTATACATGTTTGTGTGTATTCCTGTGCATGTATGTTTGTCTGTATATGGGGCTTTCTCAAAATGGAGGTTGGCTGCAGTACATCCAGTGTTCACTATGGGAATATTATGTGGTTCTTCCAAGCACAATTTTGTACCACTGTTTGTAAGTCGTATAATGGTCTTCTTCTGAACCGCCCAACACAGGAATCAACCCCTGGTAAATGTCGAGGATTGCACTGTGAAACTATTTCACTAACCTCCAAGCCACAGAATGCTTTACCGCTGTACCACAAACATATAAAACAATAACGAGCCAGTGTAAATATGAAATGATCACGTTTGAATTCAGAGTATTGATTTTCCCCACTCATGCTTGTCTCACACAAACATACATCAGTAAGGTTGTGTTTAGGCAACAGATGGGAAATCCTTTCAACCTTCATTAAGGTAATTATACAGAAGAAGGTGGCAGGGACAACAACTGCTGCGGTTGCTAATGACAGGCCACAGTGAATGCAGAAATATGTTTATGAGTTGCCATATCAGTGTTGGTGATTCAAGAGGAGATCACTCTGTCATTGTGTGGCTTTTCGTTTAGGTTTTTTAAATGCCTTATTAACACATTGCTTGTCAGGCAGGACAGTATGTGACTAATATGCTTGCCTGTCCGCCTGGTTTGTGACCTTGTTAGCGTGAACCTGATTGACCTTTTCATCATATCAAATGACACAACATGCTTAATTACCTGTTTAGCTTGCACAATTTCAAATAATTCATGTGAAATCATTTGATTCACCAGTTTGACCTAAAAAATGTCACAAATCAGTCATGTTAAATTCCTGGTTTATCCTATAAAATCTCACAAATCACTTATGTGAAATCACTTGTTTCACTGGTTTATCTTATAAAATATCACAAACAAGTCATGTGAATTCACTAATTTACCATATACATTATCACAAACAACAATTGTGTGCCTTGCTAAAGTCTCATTAAATCTTCACACATGACCAGTTGACTAGAGCATCAAGTAAAAAAAAAAAAAAACTGAGAGGTCAAAAGCTATACAGTGGTCTTTACAAAAACTGGTACTTTCAGCCATTTCACAGAGGGACATGCTCAGGAGGGATTCTGAGCAATTATGAACTGAGTGGTTTAGTTTGTAGTGAGGATGAATTGTGGATTAGTTTGTCATATTTACTAACTCACTCATTCGCTCACTGACTAACCAACCAACCAACCAACCAAGCAGCTTACTTACTGTAGTCTCTGGCAACTGTTGTGTCTTCTCCCCAGAGAAAAGTCTTGGATGGCAGTCTTGGATTTGCTGCCGGGGTAGGTTCACTGTCGTATGTCTGTCTAGAAATTCTTGCTGTTGCTGATCACATATAAGCAAGTAGAAAAAGAAAGAGAGAGAAAGAGGAATGAGATTTATAGAGAGATGGAAAGAGAGAGAAAAAGAGAGAGAGAAAGGAGTAAGAAGAAAAATGTGAGAGAGAATTGAGATAGATAAATAGTGAGAGAGTGCAGAGTAATATGTCAAGTTTGAGGGAGAGAAAAAGGAGAGAGACAGAGCGTGAAGAGTTTGAGAAGAGTTTGAGAAAAGAAGGGAGATGAAGTGTGAGAGAGAAAGATGAAGAGTTAGAAAGGAGATGAGAGAGAGAAAGCAGAGAGATGAAAGACAAAAAGAAGAAGGATAAGAAAAAAGAGAGAGATAAAGCGAGCAATGAAGCGTGAAAGAGAAAGATGAAGAGTGAGAAAGAAAGGAAACAGAAAGAAAAGAGCGAGAGAGGAATAAGATAAAGAATGCAAGAAAAGAGAGAGAGAGAGAGAGGAGAGAGATACAGAAAAGAAAAAGAGAGAGAAAGGAAACAGAAAGAAAAGATAAAAAGAGAGAGAGCGAGAGCGAGAGGAGTAAGATGAAGAATGTTAAAAAAGAGTGAGAGAAAGGAGTAAGAGAGAGATAAAGGGGGAGAGATACAGAAAAGAGAAAGGGAGGAAATTAAGAATGAGCGAACAGACTTTATTTTAAAGGAGGAAGGAATGGAGAGATTCTTGATTCTCTATCCAGGGCAAATAAGAAATCAAACCTAGAACACATTGGTAAACACATATAAAACTAGTTTCCATTACTGGAAACTTACTGGGCACATGATAGTGGCCCAATATTTTGTTCCAGTCAAGAAGTTAAGTTAATGTTAAAAATCAGTCAGCAGTGTTTGCAATTATGGTAGTTTCCTAGACTGGAGTGCTTAAAGTACTGATTTTGCATGTGTCAGCATTACCACATACTGTGAGCCAAGATTGGTATTTAGCAGTTTCTCTGTTGCTATCTTGATTGCCTGAGTTTCTGCATCATAGTTATGGCAGTACTTTCCGGTTGGTAAGCTGGATTTATCCCTAGTACCATCTGGGAATTCTATGTACACTCCAGCCCCACCATTTCTAACTGCACTTTCTGCGAACCCATCTGTATAGACTCTGACCCATTGTTCTTGTGGGTATTCTTCATCAATATAACTGAGGGTGGCCATTCTGCGTTGTACACTATCTTGTTCTTTCTTGTCAAATATCCCTTTCACATTTGTCTGGATTTGTACCGTTAGTTTACATTTTTCTCTCCATGGGGTTTGTTCTGGAATACTGTTAAGTGGATAACCAATTTCTGGAAGGTCAGCAGTTTGTCTACATATTCTTTTTGCTTGATGTATAAAGCTGTTTCTTTTTAACCGTCCCAAGGCTAGGTTCTGAAATCTATTTTCCATCAGGTGATCTGGCATACTGAGGAACTTTTCAGCTTGTATTTGCAACTTTGTATCTCTGCGTTCTCTCAGTGCCTGTGTTTTCCCAGCTTTCTCCATTTCTAATATGGGTGTTGATTTTATCCCTCCTGTGATGACTCTGAGTGCTTGATTTTGCGCTTTGTCCAACTCCTTTAATGTGGTACTAGATGCTGAACACCATGCAGTTGACCCATATTCCAAGTGTGGTTGTATGCTCTGCTTTTATACTTTATTATTTTCCCACTGGCTCCCCATGTGGTTCCACTTAGTTTTCTTAGTATGGCTGTCTTCCTCCTGGCTTTGGTTGCTGCCTTGTTGATATGTTTTCTCCATGTCAACCTGTCATCAAATGTGACTCCGAGGTACGTGGGCTCTTTATCATCTCTTAGGGGTATTCCGTTTATTTTGATGATGCCTGCTTTTTGCTTTGGGGAGAGAGTGAAGAGTGTGGTGCTACATTTGTCTGTATTGATGCTGACACACTATCTATTCACCCATGCCTCAAGTGCATATGTAGCCCTCTGCAGTGTTCTTGTGGCTATCGTTGCATGTTCATCGGTGCACCACAGTACCAGGTTGTCGGCACATATTGCTATTTTGATTCCATTTGGTATTTCAGCAACCAGGTCGTTGATGAATAAGAGGAAAAGTGTGGGCGACAGGACACCACCTTGAGGGTCGCCATGTCGCAGTAGAACCTTTTTTACTTTTGAAACCATCTTCATGTACCCTGGCTCTTCTGTTATGTAGATATGCTTTAATCCAATTGTACATTCTTCCATTTACTTTATAGTTTCTCAATTTCCTTAAATCTATCCATGCAGCGAGTATCAGTTTCTTATCTTGAAAAGCATCCTCTGTTTCTTGGGAGAGGTATGTTGTCTGGTCTTCCGTAGAGTAGAACTTTCTAAAGCCTGCCTGCTGTGGTGTAATGATGTTTTCATTTTCAATGTACCATTGTAGTCTGAGGTTGGTGATGCGCTCCATTGTTTTGCAGAGACAGCTTGTGAGGCTGATCGGTCTGTAGTTGGAGGCATTGAAACTGTCTTTCCCAGACTTTGTGAGGGGCATCATAATTGCCTCTCTCCAGATCTGTGGTACATTTCCTGTTGCCCAGCAAGTGCATATGTAGCCCTCTGTAGTGTTCTTGTGGCTATCATTGCATGTTCATCGGTGCACCACAGTACCAGGTTGTCGGCACATATTGCTATTTTGATTCCATTTGGTATTTCAGCAACCAGGTCGTTGATGAATAAGAGGAAAAGTGTGGGCGACAGGACACCACCTTGAGGGTCGCCATGTCGCAGTAGAACCTTTTTTACTTTTGAAACCATCTTCATGTACCCTGGCTCTTCTGTTATGTAGATATGCTTTAATCCAATTGTACATTCTTCCATTTACTTTATAGTTTCTCAATTTCCTTAAATCTATCCATGCAGCGAGTATCAGTTTCTTATCTTGAAAAGCATCCTCTGTTTCTTGGGAGAGGTATGTTGTCTGGTCTTCCGTAGAGTAGAACTTTCTAAAGCCTGCCTGCTGTGGTGTAATGATGTTTTCATTTTCAATGTACCATTGTAGTCTGAGGTTGGTGATGCGCTCCATTGTTTTGCAGAGACAGCTTGTGAGGCTGATCGGTCTGTAGTTGGAGGCATTGAAACTGTCTTTCCCAGACTTTGTGAGGGGCATCATAATTGCCTCTCTCCAGATCTGTGGTACATTTCCTGTTGCCCAGCAAGTGCATATGTAGCCCTCTGTAGTGTTCTTGTGGCTATCGTTGCATGTTCATCGGTGCACCACAGTACCAGGTTGTCGGCACATATTGCTATTTTGATTCCATTTGGTATTTCAGCAACCAGGTCGTTGATGAATAAGAGGAAAAGTGTGGGCGACAGGACACCACCTTGAGGGTCGCCATGTCGCAGTAGAACCTTTTTTACTTTTGAAACCATCTTCATGTACCCTGGCTCTTCTGTTATGTAGATATGCTTTAATCCAATTGTACATTCTTCCATTTACTTTATAGTTTCTCAATTTCCTTAAATCTATCCATGCAGCGAGTATCAGTTTCTTATCTTGAAAAGCATCCTCTGTTTCTTGGGAGAGGTATGTTGTCTGGTCTTCCGTAGAGTAGAACTTTCTAAAGCCTGCCTGCTGTGGTGTAATGATGTTTTCATTTTCAATGTACCATTGTAGTCTGAGGTTGGTGATGCGCTCCATTGTTTTGCAGAGACAGCTTGTGAGGCTGATCGGTCTGTAGTTGGAGGCATTGAAACTGTCTTTCCCAGACTTTGTGAGGGGCATCATAATTGCCTCTCTCCAGATCTGTGGTACATTTCCTGTTGCCCAGCATTAAATATCTGTAAAAGCTTTGTTTTGGCCACTGTTCCTAAGTTTTTGATCATTTCGTTAGATATACCATATCTCCTGGTGACTTCCGCATTTTCAGCTTTGAAATGGCCAACTCCAGTTCATTAAGTGTAAGTGGCACCTCTAGCACCTCTGATATTATTTCTTTCTGACTTCTGAATAGTGTCTTTTCTTGAATTTCTTGTTTTTTTCTCTGAACTGATTTCAATGTCATTATCTAATGTAAAAGTGTCTGCAAAGAGGTTGGCTGCCTCTTTTCCCGTGACCATGTTTCCAACTTTCAGCAGCGTGATCTTTGAGTTCAACCCTTAATTTGTTTTACAAGCTTCTATAACTTTCTTGTGTCTTTTTCAAAGTTCAGTGACCTTGTTTTCTCCTGCCAGCTTTCCCTTCTAACCTGCAGCTTTGCCCTAACAAATTTTGCTTTTGCATGCTGGTAGTTATTGTGATGTTCTTGGTTTGGCCTGGTCTCTGCTTTCTTTCTAGATGTTTCCACTTCATTATGTAAATTTTCTAGTTCACTATTCCAGTAGGGCTTATAATGCTTACGGGCACCTCTTGGTATTGATTCTCCTGCTGCCTGTAGTACGCATTTGTTAAATTCTTTAACTTCTTTGTTTATATCCTGGTCTGAGCTGAGATTTCCAAGCAGTATACTGGTACGGTGTTTGAACATTGTCCAGTCAGCCTTCTTGTAGTTCCACCTTGGCAGCGTACTCGTTTCTCTGACCTTTTCATTTTCTACATTCAGGAAGACCGGTCGATGATCACGGCCTCCCAGTTGTTTTCCAACAACTCGTGTAATGTTCCATTCCAGATCTGGAGAGTGAAATGCTAGGTCTGGTGTAGTTGTGGTGTGCCACGACCTCGAGTAGAATGTGAGTGGATCAGTTGGCCTATTAATCAGAACAAGTCTGTTCTCATCCTGCCACTCTTCCAGTTTCTCTCCTCTCTAATCTATGTGGTCGTACCCCCAGCTTTGTGAGTGGCTGTTACAGTCTCCACATAGAATCATCTTTGCTTCTACTGGGATTGTGTCTAGTGCTTGGGGATGATCACTTGGGCAGTAATAATTGCTCAGGTAGAAGTCTGCATTTCCAGTTTGCAGTTTTAGAATCTGATATTCTGCTCCTTCCATATACACTTCAGTCTGGCAGGCAGTGATATGCAGTTTTAGAATCTGATATTCTGCTCCTTCCATATACACTTCAGTCTGGCAGGCAGTGATATGCAGTTTTAGAATCTGATATTCTGCTCCTTCCATATACACTTCAGTCTGGCAGGCAGTGATATGCAGTTTTAGAATCTGATATTCTGCTCCATCCATATAATCTTCAGTCTGGCAGGCAGTGATATTGTACCTTACTAGAGTCAGTATTCCACCCTTTTTCCTGCCTTTCTGGTCTGATCGGAAGCACTATTAACCTCTGATTTTGAAGATTGTGTCTTCAGTGAGATGGGTTTCTTGTAGACAGCATATATGTATCTGTTCTTCATTTAGAATATTTTCTAACTCTAGCTTTTTATTTGTAATCCCCTCCGCATTCCAGTGCATTATTTTGACTCCTTTCTTAGTTCGGCCAGATGCTCTATTCTCATGTCCCCTGACTTCTTAGGACATTTAAGAAGGACCTCCAGTAATTTGGGTTGGGCCTCTTCGAGGCAGAGGGCCCGGCACTGCTCCTGCCTGAGAGTCCATCACAGGGCGAGCACCATAAGGTTTTGCTGATATAGACATATTTTCATGGCGTGTATGCGTGGCATCCTGATTGCTGTGGTGCGCCTCCTGGCTGGTTGCCTCCGACTTCAGCACCTTGTTTTGCAAGGGTGGACTGTGGTCGTACTCGAGTAGAGTAGGCTCATCCCTTCGTCTTTTGCCTTTACCTCGTTTGTTGTCCCATCCAGTTTCCCGCTGGGGGTTGAAAACCCAACCTTCAACTGGATTGCTGGGAAGAACAGGGTCCACCACGTGAAGGTCAGGTAGGCGTGAGCAAGAGAGGCTAGTAGACATTAAGAGTCTTGTATTGCTCCATTTGGACCCCAGTCAGGTAATTAGAAGCAACCTTTGAAGTTATAGTGTATCTGCCTGAGAGGCAAGCAACTAATAGTCTGCATGTAAATGAGTTAGATTGTAAAACGGATGCACATGTAGCACTCAGGTTCTGGAACAGGACTACAGTCCAGAAGTGGGCGAACAACCAGAACTTTCTGCTGGAGTTTACAGCTGGTGAACGTGAAGAAGAAGCTATGCCTTTTCTCTATGATTCTATGATGTTTGGACATATAATTGTATACTTTTGTCTCTGATTCTATGATGTTTGGACATATAATTGTATACTTTTGTCTCTGATTCTATGATGTTTGGACATATAATTGTATACTTTTCTCTATGATTCTATGATGTTTGGACATATAATTGTATACTTTTGTCTCTGATTCTATGATGTTTGGACATATAATTGTATACTTTTCTCTATGATTCTATGATGTTTGGACATATAATTGTATACTTTTGTCTCTGCCAGGTGATGTTAGCTGCCTCATATTGGTCCCTTTTAGCCCCAGCGTTAGAGATGGCCGAATCCTCGGGCGCATACGGCAGCTCAGGGCAGTGGGCATTCATTCCTGTGGCAGTAGGGTTCATCCTGGGTGCCTTGTTCGTGTATGCTGCCGATCTTTTTCTTCCACACTGTGTATGTCACGTTTTGTCTGGCTGTTTGATTTTAACTTAGTTTTAATGCAGTTTACCTGTCTCCATATATCTGCAACCATTTGTTAGTATGTTACAATTAGGGATTATGATGTTAAGTTTACATTTGTTTGTAACTTAGTTTTAATGCTGTTTACCCCTCTCCATATCTCCACAACTATTCGTTGGTATGTTACATTTAGGGATTTTTTTTTTTTTTTTTTTCATCGAACACCGGCTGTGAATTCCAGTGGAAGGTCCCGGTTAATCGTCCGCTTGGACTTTTGGCTTTCACCTGGACCTGATTTTTGCATGTACAACCGTTTTTCATTTCCCTGCCTCTTGGGCAGCTGTACGCCGGCTTCGAAGGAAGACGTCAGGCCTATTTCTAGGGTGACTGTGGCCATTGTTTTGTGTGGGTCGAGACTTTGCCTGGTTTGTGTGGTGTCCGCCTTGTCTCCTTCGCCGCAGGTATTGCCCCCGGAGTACCCCTTTGGGGCAGCCCCCTGTGAAACAGTTGGCCCTCAAGGGAAGGCAGGGGCAGATCATGGGCATTCCCCGCCATCCAAGGAGGCTTCCATGCATGCAGAGCCGGCACATGGCGCTCTGGTTCTGGGCTCACCCAAGGAATCGTCACGTCCTGCACATGCCTGCTTAACCTCACAACCGTATCAGGCCTTCCGCTCGACAGGGGCTGCGCCCTCTGGAAGTCAGCGGGGAGCAGCCCGTTGGTTTTGGACTTTTGTGACCACACAGATAGGTACATTAGCCCGACAGAATTTCACATCCTGAATCAGGCATATCGTTATCAGTTTTGTCCCAACACTCGGGCGAGTGGGGTCTTTGGGTGTGGACATTCGGCCTTTTTCAGTTCAGTGCAAATTTTGATGGTCAGATTTTGATCCGTATGATCTAGTTTTGTCGGACATTTAGGCTTAGCCATCCGATGGATGGTTGCTGTTGTGGTGTACCACAGCGCGGTGACGACGACACTGAGGGTTAACCTAGGATGTACGTGACTGGCCAGCCTATGGATGATTGCTGTTGTGGTGCACCTCAGCGCGGTGACGACGACACTGAGGGCCAACCGAGGATGCACAAGGATGGCCAGCCCATGTATGGTTGCTGTTGTGGTGCACCTCAGCGCGGTGACGACGACACTGAGAATTAACCGAGGATGAGCATTGAGCAATGTTCTCTTTACTCCGCAGTCTTTTAACCAAGGGTTGTAATTTTAGCTGTACTTTTGTCTAACCTACTCATGTTTTGATAACATTTTTCACCCAAGCGTTTGGGGGCAGGCTGATGAGAGCCACAAGGACACATCACCTCTGGGGGCCGCCAAACTCAGAGATCCCCTGACAGCTCTGTTAATGCTCATTTGAGACATTATCCGTGGCGCACGACGAGGACGTGCTGTAGGGGTCTTGCGTGAGGTTCCGTACAACCAGGATAATAAAGGACTGGCGCCCGAGTGATGTACGGAGTATCTCCTTATACACATCATGTTGGACTTAACTTCCCCTCACGCCTGTGACATAAATCACCGCGCCACATTTAAGGATTAAAATGTTCAGTTTGCTTGCAGCTATATACGTATTATAAGACAGAGAAGATGGCGCTACATTGGACACATCCTGCGAAGAAACCACAGAGAATCACCAAGCTTGATACTGCATTGTCTTCGTGATCACATTCAGAAGGTCTGTCCACGGTTTCTTATCCTGGTATACCACAGTAGGATGGCACCCATTGGTGTACAGTACACTTTTCAGTAGCCACCTTGCTAAGTTTAGATCTGCATGACAGCAGGCTGGGGACAGACATGGCCTCCAGACTTTCACAGAAGAATCCACTAGCATGTCCTGCCATAGGGTTCCACAAATATTCAAACACCATTTTCACATCAGTGGCACACCGGGCATGCGAGGCAAGATTCACATTTGAAAAGACCAGTCAGCAAGTGAAATGGTTTGCCCACTTAGAGAGAATGCCTTGTGACACCATACCATACAAAGCATACATGGAAAGAAAAGAAGGGCGTAGAGCACGGGGTAGACCAAGAACAAGATGGAAGGATAACATCAGAGAAACTCTACAACAGCACGATATGCCTATGGTCGAGGCAGCCAGAAGAGCTAGAAACAGAACCTTATATCTCCCTCGACACCCACAGCGGTAAAAGAGGAAGTGAAGAAGAAGAAGAAGAAGAAGAAGTCAGCACTTTATGGGTGATACGGTCAGCATCATGCCATCCACCCTTTCTTCCCAGGAGTTTACTTGTTACCTTTCTTAGGCTGGGTTGACCTGGGTGCCAAGGTCATTTGAAAATTTCCACCTCGGTGCAGATTCAAACCCAAGATCTTCAGTCTGGCAAGCGAGCGTTTAACTGCTGTGGGACCAGCTCCCTCACGTACGGGGGTTTTAAGATGAAAACCTAAAAGTCTGATCAGAATTACAATAACTATACCATTGTCTTGTGACCTGTCAGTTTTGTTGTCAAGGATGTCAAGAGTGTTAACCATGTGGCATGATGATATCATAGTGACAGTTTAAAGATGGTCACTGCACTTTAAACATGTATAGGCTCTACGCTGTTGACATCCTTAACATCAGTATTGACAGGCTGTTAAACAATGGCACGGTTTTTAACATTTCTGTCAGTTCTGTAATATATATAAAATTAAATAATTTATAAAATAAAATTTCTGTCAATCAGATGATATTTTATAATTTCTTTCTCTTTTAAGGTTTTCATTTAAAGCCTTGTCATAAATGAGGTCACATAATATTGAATTAAGAATATGCCATACTTTTGTTCATTGCCTTTCCTTTTGAGTCTTGTCCATAATATGTAACTCTTCTGTTGTATTTGATTTCCAATACAGGGTAGTCTCATTAGTGATGAAGACGGTTATAGCGCTTTATTTATTTCTGGAAACGACCACCTTAAAAGTGGGGACTCAGAAACTGCCATTACAGTGACAGTGGCAGATGAGTTATTTTATCAGAATCCTCAGAGCACATCCGTGTTACGGACAAATTCGGAGCCTGCCCGACAGAGACGCAAGTTGGGGCAGGCTGCTTCGGACAACTCTTTAGGGGTCAATGGACAGACTACCCAGAGCGCCCCTGGCAGGTTGGAGGTTGGCCGAGTTATAAACTGGAGACGGATACTGTTACTAATTATAGCCATTACAATTCACAACATTCCAGGTATGGTTGTACTTTATTTTTTAAAGAATTTTGGTGCTGTCTCAACACATTTTCTTTTTTTTTTGGATAAGAGAATGTTGGAGTTGTGTTCAGTCTTATTTCTTTCTTGTGTTAAGAGAATGGTGGTGCTGCGTTAAATCTTATTTATTTCTTGTGCTAAAACAATGTTAGTGTTGTATTAAATTGTATTTCTTTCTTGTGTTGAGAGAATGTTGGTGTTGTGCTCAGTCTTATTTCTTTCTTGTGTTAAGAGAATGTTGATGTTGTATTAAATTGTACTTCTTTCTTGTGTTGAGAGAATGTTGGTGTTGTGCTCAGTCTTATTTCTTTCTTGTGTTAAGAGAATGTTGCTGTTGTGTTAAATATTGTCTCTACAATTTAGTATGATAATATTGGTACTGTTCTAAACCTTGGTTTGGGAGTTGCCGTGGTGTAACGGCTGGACGCTCGCCTACGGATCGCAAGGTCATCGGTTCGGATCTTGACACAGCCAGACTTTATTCAGAATTTACCTTGGTTTCCAGGTTGACCCAGCCTTCAGTGGATACCATGTGCAGTCCTGGGGAAGTAAAGGTGGCCGGCATGATGCTGACTACATCATTCACCTAATGCCAATAAGTCTATAAAATATAGGTTTAGCCCTATATGTCCAATATAGGCATGGAAAAGAGTCCTTTTTTTTTTTTCAAACTGTGTTTTCTTTTTCTGTGGTAAGAGAATATTGGTTTGGGTGTTTAACCTCGCTGCCAGGATGTATATTGTCTCTTAGGTTTGCTCTTTACCTAATGTTGGGTCATCTGTTGAGCCAACTCTGGCCCGGTTACAATAAGCGCATAATTCTTCTTCTTTTTCATCTGATTTTTATTGTCATTGCTTTTTATGTTTCTCTCCCTTTATTATCATTCTCTGACGTCCATTTATTCAACATCTATGACATCCATTTTCCATAAATACTTGTGTCCATTTATTCTTCATATCTGATATCCATTTATGTATCATTCTTCAACATCCAATTTATTCATCATTCTTCAACATTCTTTTTTCATATTTATCAAAAATTCATTTGTTCATCATTTCCTGGCATCCATTTATTCATAATCATCATCATCCATTTATTCAGCATTCCTTTCGTCCGTTTATTCTTCCTCTGTGACAACCATTTATTCGTCATTTCCCTCCTCTGCTACCTGTTCAGGTGTTGAGAGAGATACAGGGTTTGGGTTTTCACTTAACATCTGTTTATTCGCCATTCCCTAACCTCTGTTTATTCATTATTCTCTAACCTCTGTTTATTCATTATTATTTAATCTCTGTTTATTCAAGATTCCCTAACCTTTGTTTATTCATTATTCCCTAACCTTTGTTTATTCATTATTCCGTAACCTTTGTTTATTCATTATTCCCTAACCTCTGTTTATTCATTATCCCCTAACATCTGTTTATTCATTATTCCGTAACCTTTGTTTATTCATTATTCCCTAACCTTTTTTTTTTATTCATTATTCCCTAACCCCTGTTTATTCATTATTCCCTAACCTCTGTTTATTCATTATTCCCTAACCTCTGTTTATTCATTATTTCCTAACCTCTGTTTATTCATTATTTCCTAACCTCTTTTTTTTCATTATTCTCTAACCTCTGTTTATTCATTATTCTCTAACCTCTGTTTATTCATTATTCTCTAACCTCTGTTTATTCATTATTCCCTAGAGGGACTTGCAGTTGGTGTGGGCTTTGGAGCTATAGGAAAAACAAAGGCTGCAACTTTTGAAAATGCCAGGTAATGTGTGCTAGGCTTAGTCTGTCTGTCATTTACATTATCTGTAATTTTTTTCTGGTGCCGTGTGAACTGTGGTGCTCTGTGAGATGTGAAAATTATGGTGTTCTGTGGCACTGTGTGAAGTGTGGTGCTCTGTACTTTGTGATGCTCTGTGGTGTTATGTGAATTGTGGTGTTCTGTAAATTTTGGTGTTCCGTGAATTGTGGTGTTCCGTGAATTGTGGTGTTCCATGAATTGTGGTGTTCCGTGAATTGTGGTGTTATGTCAGTTGTGATGCTATGTCAGTTGTGGTGCTCTTTGAAGTGTGGTGTTCTGTGAATTGTGGCATTCTGTCAGTTATGGTGTTCTGTCAGTTATGGTGTTCTGTTCTGTGAATTGTGACGTTCTGTCAGTTGTGGTGTTCTGCTAGTTGTGGTGTTCTGTCAGTTGTGATGTTCTGTCATTTGTGGTGTTCCGTGAATTGTAGTGTTCTGTAAATTGTGGCCTTCTGTTGGTTATGGTGTTCTGTGAATTGTGGTGTTATGTCAGTTGTGGTGTCCTGTAAATTGTGGTGTTCTGTGAATTGTGGTGTTATGTCAGTTGTGGTGTCCTGTTAATTGTGGTGTTCTGTGAATTGTGTTATGTCAGTTGCGATGTTATGTCAGTAGTGGTGTTCTTGGAATTGTGGTGTTCTGTGAATTGCGGCATTCTGTCAGTTATGGTGTTCTGTTAATTATGGTGTTCTGTTCTGTGAATTGTGACGTTCTGTCAGTTGTAGTGTTCTGTCAGTTGTGAGATCTGTCAGTTGTGATGTTCTGTGAAGTGTAGTGTTCTGTGAATTGTAGTATTCTGTTTGAATTGTGGTGTTCTGTGAATTGTAGTATTCTGTTTGAATTGTGGTGCTGTTAGAACTGTGGGTAAATAAAGTGCTCTGTGAATGTGGTTTAAACTAATTGCCACACTGTGAATGTTATTGATCTGTGAATTGCAGTGCTCTGAATTCTGACACTTTGTGAGTTGTGGTGTGCCACTAATTATTATGTTGTATGAAAGCCACAAAGGTTGGGGTTAATGAAACCGGGTTAATGTCTGTACATAATTAACATGTAGTTATTAAATGACATGGCACGTTGACTCCATACAGGATAGTGATATTGACATTTTGGATGTACTTTCTCCAGAAATCTGGCTTTCGGGATGGGCATACAAAACTTCCCAGAAGGCTTAGCTGTGAGTCTTCCTCTCAGAGGCTCAGGAATGTCAGCGCTGAAGAGTTTTTGGTAAGTGACGTTGTTGTATGAGAGCCATAGCAGCATAGTGACCAGACGACTGCCTGCCAGCCAGAAGAATTATTATGCCCTTATTTTTGGGTTTGAAAGCACGTTGAGTTCAGTTAAAAAAAAATTTTTTCTTTTAAACCGTGAAGTATGTTCGGCAACTGTCTGATTATAATGAAATTTTGTTCACTTAATTCACCTTGTATTACTTACGCAAATAAAGAGTGTTTGTGAAACTTAGATTTAGTTTTTGTGCAGCAGTTGGAAAGCCACACAAATTTTCTAAAAAAAAGTTGATACATTTTAAGGTTAAGGTTATACCCAGGAGCATAGTTTACTCTATAACTTTATAATACATATGAAAGTGTAGCCAAACCATACTTTCCATACTTTTTTCTTTCTCCTGAGCCACTGTGATAATTAATGTAGCTGGTGTATTTTTATTTTCAAGACATCTTTCCTGTTTGGGTTCCATAGTCCCGTTTTGGAGGGAAAAGAACAGACCCACTGTCGCCTAACATGCATGCCATAAGAGGTAACTAATCAGGGGTATTTCCTTTGAAGTCAGAGTGCATCTGCCTAAAAGGCAAGGAACTAGCAGTCAGCATGTAACAGGGAGACGTCATCACTTGTTTGTTGGGAGGTAGGATATTGCGCAAAGCTATGATGTACCGGGATCAACAAGTTTTGGTAACCTTCTTTGCCCGCAAAAACTAAGTATTGACGTCATCACTTGTTTGTCAGGAGGTAGGATATGGGGAATTAGTTGATGGGACGAAAATCAACAGGTCTTAGCAACAATTTATTTGTAAATAGTATTTGACATCATTGTTGACGTGCCTTTTCAGAGAGAACGTAGTAGTACTTGCTTTCTAAAAGTCTCTATGATGTCAGCTGTCAATTTAATTACTATATTTGCGCAGAATAAGATGATGAAATCTGATGCATTCAAGATATAATTTGAAAATCCCAGGTGAGAACGCACATAGTAAACATGTTGAGACGTACTAGAAATTTCTAGAAGAGAAGAAAACAAATACCTAGCATCCAAGTATAAACAAAGCACTTTAGTATCCCTTCGGTCTACAAGACTTAAAAGAGGAGAGACAAGTAACATTGACCCTCAAAGAAAACTTTCAGTCGTTGAGATTCAGAAGAAGAGGGACTAGTAACATTGGCCCTCACAGCTGTGGAGATGCCAGCTCAACACTATAAGGAGAGGAGCCAGTCACATTGAGCCTCGAAGACAGACACTAGAAAGGAGACATGAAACAAGACATCGAGCTACAGAGAGAACACACAAGATACATTGATCCATGGTCAACAGAGACACATTAGGTAGAATCACTATTGAGATGTTAGAGTCAACAATCAAGCCCTTAGTACCAGGCAGCACTAGAAGCCAGGTGGCAGTTGCAGACACTAGAACCAGTTAACAAAGTAACTTGAGATAAAGAACACAACGCGACCTTAAGAGTATGTAACCATACAGCAAACACAGCGGCCAATTCAAAATATCATTGATGTTGTTTGTGACATTTCTGAAGTATCACAATAAAGACAGGTTAGACCAGATCAGTTGTTTCCAGACATTTAATATTTTAATCATCAGAATCACGTGAGAAGCATGCAGCTAGCAAGACATCATCATCATCAACACCACTATCGACACAACCATCGTTCTCCTCGTCTGAACCCTTTTAATCGACTCCTCCTGTGGCAAACTAAAGACGAACCTGTATGTGACATCGACGTATGCAAAGATGACAGCTGTGCTACATGCATTACAAAAATAGCCAACCTGTAGAAGGGTTTGCACACAGAATTATAGTTCTGGAACAAACAACTTAAATTTGTCACCAAAATGTACAGCCGGCCGATGAACACTAAGAAGTAGAAGACGTTTCCTGGACATGATGCTGTTCATCAGCCAATCGTAGAATATCAGTATTTGTCTATATCTTGAACCACAGTTTATGAATATGTAAATTCTAAGACTGATTTTAGTTTTCAGTTATTAGAAGGATGCATTTTGCGTATTATTTACCTTTATGGGCTGATATTATGCTTGTCTTTTAATGCTGTTCAATCTCGCCAGCCTACTTTCAACTTCTTTTTAACATCCTAATTCTTTTTACTCTTACTGAGAGGATTGAAATCTACTATGAGTAGATTTGGAAAGAAAATTATGTTGAGACAGATTAATTTAATATTAATCATGACAGAGAAATGTCTTACTAGGAATGATTGGCAGAAGAGCATGAAAAATCCTAGTTTCATGTGAAATATCTAGCCAGATTTCCAAAGTCAGTCAGGTCAAATGTAGAGGATATAAGAACACTTTTGTGTTGTCATTTGTTTCTCTAGGTATGGTCAGCTAAGTGGGATGGTGGAACCCATAGCCGGTATACTGGGTGCTGTGTGTGTTTCCATTTGTGAACCAATTCTGCCTTATGCCTTAGCCTTTGCAGCGGGTGCCATGGTATATGTTGTAGTTGATGACATCATTCCTGAAGCACAAACTGGGTAGGTACTAGGTGGCTGTGTCGTTTGTTTGTTGTGTAGTCATGTTGTCAAGTAAACGAACAATCAGAGCCGATATAATACCCTGACACTGAATAAAGAGAATCCAGGGACACCACAATGTTGTTTTATTTGTAGAACACTAACAGTTTCACTGACGATTTACAGGACCAGTATTCACCTACTACAAGGGACCAGCTTACACAGACATTGGATTACCCAATCAGGGCATGACAGGCATAATTTTTCATAAGTTTTGCAAAAAGGTGCCATAAATTGTGATCTCCAGTCCAGTTTTCAAGTTCAAAACATCTTTTCAGAACTGAGGGTCAACTTATATAGCCGGTAAAAATGTGTTAGGAAGGTGAAGGCTTCACTCAGAATTTTTACTTAAAAATCTTGAGGTTGAATTGTAGATAAAGGCAACTTGTACGCTGCAGTAAATCAAAATGGTGTGGAAAATAGGGGTTTAGACAGTTGAGCTAATGCTGATAAATGGATCAAAATTTGACCTCAGCGTGCGGAAAGATGTACAGAGGTATAAGCAAATGTTTCAGCCAGTCTTTATCAACAAACAATGACTATCCTGCTGAGAAGTGTTTAAAAAAGTTATGGATAAAAATGGTGAAAACCTGAAGAGTTTTAGATACTTGTCACCACTTTCATGTGGCAGTCATAAGATGCCACTGTAGGCACAATGGGTTGGACAACCTGCTCATTGTTGGCTAGTGCTCTCACAGAGAGTCTTCTTCATTTGTTCGACTGCTAATGCCATAAAGCATCGTAGAGAGGAGTTAGATGTAGTCTTCTTCTTCTTCTTCTTCTTCTTCTTCTTCTTCTGCTTTATCTTCTTCTTCCTCTTCTTCTTCTTCTTCTTCCTCTTCTTCTTCTTCTTCTTAGCATTTACTAGCTGAAAACTCAGATGGAAAGTTCTAGACTTTAGTCTTGTTCCAGAGTTTTTGGTGCACATTCCGTCCACAGACCTGGCTTATTTGTGTGCAGACTGTTGATTCCTTACCTCTCAGGTATATGCATTCCGACTTTGAAAAATGCACCCATAATTACTCACCTTTATACGAGTCTAACATCATATGTCCGATGAGCCACTGGTGGAAAAGGATCCCTTACTATACTTTACTGTGATTATAGATGCAAGAAATGTATAAGACACTGGGTATAGACGTGGTGACGGACATACATTGATTATAAGAAGAAATGGGTGTGTTTCCATTAAGTAAAGGCACTTGTATCCTAGTTTGCATGGAATAGTATGCAGAAAAAAAATATTATTTCAGGACACAGAATAGCCTGTTTGCAATATCCAAAATAATATCCTGATGATTTAGCAGAATACGGATGTGCAACAGCTTACACAAAATGGTTACAGCACTGTTAACATGCACCGTGGAAAAGCAGCGAGCTGTTATTCATTTTTTTTTGCAGTTGGCAGAGGGCATTAGAACCATTTGAAATCTATCAAAGAATAAAAGTTCAATACAGAGACAGTTGTTTGTTTCAGAGGAAAGTGTATAAATGTTTGGAAAGATGCAATGATGGAAGAGATAACGTCACTGATGAAAAGCGGATTAGGAGACTTGTTAGCGTGGCAACTGAGACAGTGAAACAGCAGATAGAGCAGCGAATCCGCGACAGTAAATGAGTCACTACTGATAAAATTCTGCATGAGTCACGGTACTACATATAAAACTGTTTGTGACTTCGATATATGAAAGTATGTGCAGATGGGTTGCAAGGCATCTGTCCAATTAACAGAAACACACTAGGCAGATGATTTGTCAGGAGCATTTGAACTGTCATGCCTACATAGAAGATGCTTTTTTCCTGTTTCCTTCAAATGTGACAGGTGATGAGTCTGTTTCCAGGAAAGTGAGGAAACTGTGACTCGTGCTCGTTACTGTGACATGTTAGAGAACAAGTTGAAGTCCGTGATCCAGTCGAAATGCCGGGGTCTTCTCTCAAAATAATTTTTTTTCCCGCTGCATGACAAAGCCTGCCCCGTATGCTGTGCATATAGTGGATACACTGGGACAGTGTTTCCCAAAGTAGAGCCCATGCCCATGGGGGGGGGGGGGGGGGACAATTCGAAAATAGACTCGTGAGAATTTAAGTTAGCCATGTGGCGATGTTACACAGGGGCAGAAGAATTTTAAAAAGGCTTAGCACACAGAAGGTTGAGAAACACTGCACTACAGACTCTGTAGTTTGAAATATTGAAACATCCAGCTGAAAGAACATTTGCTGGGTCAGAGATTAGCATATGGCAAGGAGGTGATGTCGGTGGTGCAAACTTGGTTACTGGCCACTCCCAAAAACTTCTACCTGGCGGGAACCAATCCTGTGGATCGGTGGACTACATGTCTTGAAAGGCAGGGAGGCTGTCAAGAAATAGGATACAGGACTATTTTGTTCTAGCCGCTTCTGAAAAAAACTTATTAATGCAGTTCCCTTTACTTAACGACTTCTCTTCTTGTATAAAATTGTCTTAAGATATTATAATTCTTTATTGTGCAGCACCACTAACCTCCCCTCACCCTTTTTTTCCCCCTACCCCACATCCCCCCCCCCCCCCATTTTAACAAAAAATACACAAACAATTATTTATTTTCTCTGAACTGTCTCTAGCGGCTTACAGACATGACCGTAACCTTAAGGATGTTCAGTTACATCCCACCTCAGAGTCACACTTTAGCATGGACCCATGTCATAGATCTGTAAGCAAGACATACACTTACATATACATACAGATGAAAATGCAGATAAATATTTCTGATTGTGTAGTAAATTGTAGCAGGTAATAACAGAAGACATCCCTCTCCCCCTTTACGATTTCCCCCGCCTACACTGCAAAAGTGTTAAATACATATACTAATGGCAGTTCAGTAGAAAAGAGATAAATATGGATAATTAGCATAATTATTCATTTATAATTCTTCTTTTTCAGTTTTTTTTTTATTTTTAAAAATAATTCATATTTTAAATGATTTCAGTGGCAACCGATTACTGGCTTCCTGGGGAGCAATAGTAGGATTTATAGTCATGATGTCCTTGGATGTAGGCCTTGGTTGACCTCTCAGACATCAAACACTGTTGGGGGTCTCAGTGACATTACACACTGTTGAGGGATTGCTCAGGTTATCTTTTATGTACTCTATTTTCTATGTAAACAAAACAAACAAAAAATCCGTGCCTGCCATATGGTACATTGTTTCTTCTTGGGTATACCAGATTTTATATCTCCGTCTGAAATCTCATCTGGTGGCTGATAGACTGTGTTTTGTTTCTTTGTACAGGCATGTGATAGATAAATTAATTTATATTTTGTCACGGATCCCTGAGTGTAATTGATACGTTAATAATTTTGGGGATAAATTATTGTTGTTAGATCTTGCATTTCAGTACTGTGCAGCAAACCCTCCCACCCCCAGTTGGAACAAAGAAGACATAAACAACAATAATTTTGCTTTCTCTTGTGCAGTGGTTCTCAACCTATGGGTGGCGACCCTTTTGTGGATTGAAGGACCCTTTCACAGGGGTCGCCTAAGACCATCATAAAACACATATTCACTGTAGTTATGAAGTAACAACGAAAATAATTTTACAGTGGGGGTCACCACAACATGAGGAACTATTAAAGGGTCGTGACATTCGGTAGTTTGAGAACAACTGCTGTAGTGGCTCACAGACAGGACCATAATTTTAAGAACATTCTAGTCAAGAGTCGGTTACATCCAATCTGTGAGTCACACTTGGGCATGGTCCCGTGTCAAATATCTGTATGCATGTCTACATGTAGTTAGATTTGATAGTCTGGCAACACCTAATGCCATTTTCAACATACGTGAGGGGTTTTATTGCATGAGCCCTAATGTAATTTATGCAAACATTTGTAAAAGGTGTGGTAGGAAGTATATCAGTGAAAAAGTTTGTGATTGTGATAATATAAAGCTGACTAGTTGTGCATGTTGTTTGGCTAGATGTCTGTTCCCGCACAGTCTTTGTCTGGCCTAGTCTGTTGGATCTAGCTGGGTGCACACTACAGAATGAAAAAAAAAGGTTATCTCCTTATTCTTCTTATCATTAGCAATTCTGTTTTCAAAATGGCGACCAGCAGCTGTGTTATTTTTCTGTGGCAGTGATTTACCTCAGATAGTTCTGTTGCTTTATCATGGACTGCTATTTTGTGCACATTTCCAATGCAGGATACTTCCTTTTTTATGGAAACAGCGTGTATTGTGGTTGTGCTGTGTCGGAGCAGAATAATGACCAATAGATTTGGGAGCCTGGACCACGCTGCCTTTGCAGTATTTTGATCGCGGCAGCCCTCTATCCGGGAAGACAGAATCTACTCAGCATGTGACTACAGCTGTCTAGAGAGCAAACCTGATAAAAGAGAACCCACACAGGGGGGGCAGTTGTGCAGTCTGTTTTCTTTATATCAATTTTGGTCAAATTCACAGTAGGGAAACATTTTTTTGATCTTTTGTTTGTGGTGGGCTGTTTTAGTCTTGTTACATGACTGAACCATCTGTCTCAACATCTTTTGATAAAATCCATGACTGGGATTGGGCCTCCGTGATTGCTGGTTGTCATGTTATTGACTAGTCTCTCATCACAGTACATTATTGATGAATGTAAGTTGATATCAAGAACAACTGATTTAATAAACCCCTGCCATAGGAGGTTTAACAAATATTTTTGCATGCTGTATAGCCAGGTTTTTAACATGTGGCTGTGAATCCTGGATAATTAATACTTGCTAGATAAACAAGCCTGGCAATGTCTTGAGGCCTCAGAGAAGATGGGTTTTTTTTTTAAGTATCCAGAAACCATGAGTTGTTTTTGGCTTGGTACTATGGATATTGCAACCCTTCCACCTTGATTCCATGATAGATACCGTAAATCTGGGAGAAATGTGGCTTTTCTGCCTATCCACAGGCGTGAACCCGGACCACAAGGACTTCATCACCCGGTCGCCGCAAAGTGAGCTTTAACCATCTACTCTAGCAAGCCGGGCGTGAAGTGGTTTTATCATGAAAAGGCTTCACATTCCTTGTACAGCCAAAGGCACCCAGATGTTTTGATAGAGGCGAAGGCCCAAAGACAATTTATCACAGACATCAGAAGGAGACAGTTATTATTTGTTTAGGTCATGTGAGAAAAGGGAAAACTGGAACATATTGTGAACCCAGAAAGATTTGTGACTGGAAAGATAAAGGAAGACAACAGGAGAAGATTCTTGACAGTCTTTTGTCATGGCATGAAGGGGGAAGGGGGGGTTTCAGTACAAGAACTGATAAAAGCTTTTGAAGATTGCGGGTTGTGGAGAAGCCAGGAGAAGGGAGGCATTTGAAAATGAATATGAATTGACACATGACCACACAACCAGATATGACACTGACTAACTCAGGACTGTTGCTAGGTTCTTTCCCCCCCCCCCCCCCCCCCCCCCCCCACACGCACACAACCACAGATGTGACTGACTAACTCAGGACTATTGCTAGGTCCCCTCAATGACAGAAAAGTGTTATTTGTTCTTGCCTTTTTCTTGCCAGTCCTATGTAAACGGTGACATTCCATGACAAGTTTATAAAGTCAAATATTTTTTCATTGTTTCACATGGGCTTCTGGGTCCCAATTTTTAAAGCAAAAAGAAAACAAGAGGAAAAGGGTGGGGGGGGGGGGGGGGGGGGGGAGAGACAAGCATGTCATAACAGGTGACAAATTAAGGATTTGCTGAAATCTAGAACGTTGGCCGAAAGTTGCATGTATCACAGCCTAGCTGTAAACCACAACACAATATACCAACATGTCTAAGGGTGAACACAGTTTTCCTGAAAGTCTGGTTGCAAGGCAGGCAGTCTGATCCTGTAAGTCTCTGGGTCTTAAGGGGTAGTGAGCACATTTCACAATCCTCTGTATATCACAGTCTAATTTCCACAATGGGCGGTTTAATGAAAAAACCCATTCTTGTGGTGTTCTGAGGGTGGTACAAGAGTCATACCATGGAAGTGATTGGAACCTCATCATAATGATCATCAGGGCACGCCTGAAATTCTCTCTTTCTCTAGTCAACTCTCCAGCCCTATGTGCTTTCATAGCCAGTGCCTCACAATTCATATCTGGATTCTAGGTTCTTGTAAAGAGACAGTAAGGGATGTGAAGAAAGTTGTATCTGGAAAAGTTTGTACGTAGAGCAGTTTGTAAGTTGAGGTACTGATGTGTTCTCAAAGGTAGCAGTCAGTGTCTACATCCGTTGCAGCTAATCTCCATGATGGAGATGACAACAAACAACTAACCACTGCCAGTCCACTGTCAACTATAGCATTCTGTAACATTACTGTTCGGCACACAACATGCAGCTTGATTATTTTGGTGTGGAAGTACTAACTGTTCAGTTACAGGGTTCCCCGTGTGGGTTCCGGGGCCCCATCGTGGGGAAAACAAGAATAGACCCTCTGCCTACCCAAAAGCATGTCGTAAGAGTCAACTAATTGGGGAGCTTCCTTTGAAGTCTGAGTGCATCTGCCTGAGAGGCAAGGAACCAACAGTCTGCATTCAAGTGAATCAGATCTGTAAAACTGATGCACACGCAACACTTAGGTTCTGGAGCAGGACTGCAGTTCAGAAGTGGACGAACAACCAGAACTTTCCACCAGAGTGTACAGCTGGTGAACGCGAAGAAGAAGTTACAGGGTGCAGATTGGTTGCATCCAGACAGGGCTGCCCCATTGGAAAGAAATCTCATTCCTGGTCATCTTGTATTCTGCAGTCTCTGTTGATGTTGTTTGACGTCCTGCCTGTCCACTCTAAACCATCACATTTTTATTCTGCACATTTTATGCAGCATGTTGTTTTATTGGGTGTTCTTTGAAGTGCTGACAGTAAAGAGAGATTCCCACAATGTTTTAAACCCGAGACACTGGCAACTTTACCCCAAGCACTGCCAGTGACCACACTTGTTACTTTGATATTGACCATTCCATATGTTACATTTACATGATCGGGATGTTCCATCTGTTACATTTACAGTCGGAATTTTAGTGTCACTAACTTCTTTTTATCACTTCTTTAACCTTTCACCCCAACGACCTAGAAAAATCAGTGTCTAGAGTTTGTAATTTTGGGTTTTCCAGTAACATTTTTCCTTTTAAACACATTGACACGGTTGGCAGACTGCTTCCTAAACAATTCAATTTTCAGACATAAACAAACAGAAATTACACACTGATGAAATAAGGTAATCAGTAAAAACTAATACAGTAGGTAATCAACTGGGTTATGTCTCTCTGAGGTTAAATAAATGTAATGCCATGACTTTTTGTTACTATGTGATCCATCCCTTGGAGAGCAGTGTGACTAACGGGAAAGTGAGATGTCATAATTTCTATAAACACAACCATGGTAGCCATTTGGTTTGATTCAAGAACAGCACTCGGGGTATTCCCATAAGCACTCTGTCCCCATCTTCAGCAGCCAGCAAAGAGTTCCGATACTAATGGTGCCAGTATCATTCTGATTGAACGTCCGTCTTGCCTTTCCTCTGAGCCTCGAGCATCTGCCAGAACCTCTCGTCACTCCCCACTGCATCAATCTCACCAGACTGGTGATCCATCTGCTCCTCCGAACTGTACACGCTCTCCCACAAGGCCAAAAATGGTAGCCGTTGGCGGATTAATTAAACATTTGCGCATGTGCAAACAGAATTGATGCCCCTAGGAAGAATCCTCATTTAAAAATAATTTAAACCCCACAAAATTGCTGTGCCGATTAAGTGGCTTCTCTGTTTGAAAGGGTTAAGTTAATTGAACACACCATGACATGAGTTCTCATGATTAACTCATTTTTTTGGAGTTCTCATGATTAACTCATTTTTTAGAGTTCTCATGATTAACTCATTTTTTTGAGTTCTCATGATTAACTCATTTTTTTGAGTTCTCATGATTAACTCATTTTTTTTGAGTTCTCATGATTAACTCATTTTTTTTTAGTTCTCATGATTAACTCATTTTTTTTGGAGTTCTCATGATTAACTCATTTTTTTTGGAGTTCTCATGATTAACTCATTT